TCTATTCATCAAATAATCCTGAAAAAAATTTACTCAACTGTTTTAAATATTGATGATAATAATAATAATAATAATAATAATAATAATGTTTCTTGAGCAGCAAATCAGCATATTCGAATGATTTCTGAATGATCATGTGACACTGAAGACTGGAGTAATGATTCTGAAAATTTAGCTTTGATCACAGGAATAAATTACATTTTAAAATATATTAAAATAGAAAGCTGTTATTTTAAATAGTAAAAACGTTTCACAATATTACTGCTTTTGCTGCATTTTAGATCAAATATATGCAGGCTTGGTGAGCAGAATTCTTTAAAAAAACATAAAAAATCTTACTGTTCAAAAACTTTTGACTGGTAGTGTATATAGAGTTGTTATTATTATTTTTTATCTTTGGTTGATGTTCAGGCAACCTGTTTGAAAACAATCAGCATTTTGTAATTCCATTTGGTACAAAAAGTACACTATTCAGCAATTACAAGGTTTTTATTGTGGTCCTCTGAGAAGATGCAACATCACAGATCTCAGACCATGGGTTCAAAAAAAGTCTCATCAGATATTTTATGCTCTGTCGTTTCTCGAATTATGTGTATCAGCATGTACCCAAATATCATTAGGATAGTTTCCAAAGAGATATGCACATCATACAGGTTTTTATGAATGATCCTCTGCCTTTCAGTTCCACCTTGTCATTTCCATTTATCGCAAATTCTGTGCAAACGCTTTGGTGATGAATGCAAGTGTGAAGTGGAATGATGAGAGGACAGAAACGTTTGTACTGCAACATCAAAAAGTAGCTTCTCATTTGAAGAACAAACACACAGCGTTGGCAACCATAGGGGATTACGCCGCACTCCCCCAGTGGACGCTTCTGATTGGCTGCTGGAATATTGACCTTGACCTTCAGAGTTAGACAGAAAAGCTTAGCTTAAGAGAAAGACAGGGTCAAAACAATGATGGTAAACTGCAGGGACAGAACTTCACAGCAAAATGAAACTATTATTATTCATAGATACAAAGCCACAGAGCAGAACTGTTGAATTATATGGTGATGATATACTTTATAATATATTCAGAGAGCCATATTTTTGGGAGCACAAATACAAAGTAGATTTTTTTAATTAAACTATTTTTACATAAGGTGACAACCTATGTGTCACGATTCGCTGTGAGAGGAACGAGAGAGAAACGTGGAGTACAAGCAAAAGTCTTTAATCCAGGAATCACAGGGGATAAGCCGCAACAGGAACACGGGAACCACAAAACATCCAACAAGTAGACCTGACAGAAGAAAAACGCACAGACAAGAACTTATAAACACAGGACAATTACCAAACACAGGTGCACACACTCTTAAAAATAGAGGTGCTTCAAAAGGTTCTTCAAGCGATGCCATAGAAGAACCATTTTTGGTTCCACAAAGAACCATTCAGTCAAAGGTTCTTTAAAGAACCATCTCTTTCTTACCTTTTTATAATCTGAAGAACCTTTTTTCGCCACAAAGAACCATTTGTGAAACAGAAAGGTTCTTCAGATGTTAAAGTTTCTTTATGGAACATTTAGACAAAAAGGTTCTTCTATGGCATCGTGAAGCACCTTTATTTTTAAGAGTGCAGAATGACTAATTAACTAAACAAGGACAGGAACATGACCAAATAAGGGGACACAGGAACAGAAACAGGGGCAAAACATAACAAAACAGGTCCATTATCCTGACACTATGTTGAACAGCTGAACAGATAATGTTTTTAATAAACAAAATGAATAAAACAAAAATGTAATTTATGTACACTATCATTCAAAAACAATATTTTTTATTTAGTAAAAGTCACAGTAAATATATGTACAATGTTACAAAAGATGTATGTTTTTATTTATGCTATTTTTTAAACTTTCTATTCATTAAAGAAACCTGAAAAAGTTACCAGCAAAATATTAGGCAGCACAACTGTTTTCAACACTGATAATTAGTAATTTGGTCAAGTTTATTGAACACCAAATAAGTATATTTGAATAGTTTTTGAAGGACTGAAGACTGGAATAATGCTGCTGAAAATTCAGCTTTGACATCAAAGGAATGAATGAATGAATGAATAGAAAGCAGTTAATTTAAAATTATATTAATATTGGATAAAATTACTGTTACAGTATACTGTTTTTTAATCAATAATCGATAAATGCATTGATAAATGTGTGTGTGTGTGTTTGTTACAAACAAATACACTCTGTATTAATGTGTATACATTCATTAAAGTGTGAAGTATCTGAATTATGGATCCTGAAAAGATGTGTTAGCAGTTGTCTAAAAATATTCTGGTGCTTTGCAAGGAAGCTCTGCGTGACCATCATTCCTTTCTCTTTTTTCCAGACGTTTGGGTGAATACACACAAAATGACACAGATGTTAAAAAGTGACATTTATACCGGGCTAACAAAAATGAGAAAGCATGCATTTGGTTTGTCGGCTGAGAAAAATACATAAAATAAATGATCTCATGCTAGCTTTTGTCACCCTAGCGTTGAATACCTGTGAGCATAACTGAATGTCTCATTCTGGAAAGCTGCACAATCCACAGATTCACTCGGCAATAAAATTGTCTCACTGACAAAAACTCTGCTAGGTATGTGTTTATTCTCCCATGCACAAATATATTAAACTCTCTTATTTGCTGAGTAAAGAGACACCATCTGTTATAGGACTACCTGTTCAGAATGAAAATGCACTTTTGTTTATTTACTGTCTGGCTTGATCTCCGGCTTGATTCTAACAAATTATCACTGTGCTCATGTCAGTTACAGCAAAGACACTGTGGCCCATTGGGAAGCAATAAGAGCCTTAAGCTAATTTTTACAACCAAGATAATTAATAATGATAATAAATGACAAACAAACCACATGCCCTGTGTACATGAAGACCCCAACCGAGAAACAAAGAGGGAGGGGGAAACAGAGCTAGCTTTAAAACCAGGACCATCCTTAGGGGGGTGCAACTGGTGCGGTCGCACCGGGGCCCGCGCTTGAGGGGGCCCCGCGGTGAACCGGAACGTGATCTCGAACGGACCGAGGGGAGCCCCACTCCCAACCTCGCACCGGGCCCCGCGTCAGCTAAGGACGGCCCTGTTTAAAACCATTCACTGCCTTTAAATGTGGCTTGCCCAATCACAAGCTATAAACCATTTTATAAATTGTGTGTCTGTAAAATTAAAGGGGTCATATGATGTTGCTAAAAAGAACATTATTTTGTGTATTTGGTGTAATGAAATGTGTTTATGCGGTTTAATGTTCAAAAAACACATTATTTTCCACATACTGTGCATTATCGTTTCTCCTCTATGCCCCGCCTTTCTGAAACGCGTCGATTTTTACAAAGCTCATTGGTCTGAAAAGCGAGGTGTGCTGTGATTGGCCAGCTATCCAGTGCATTGTGATTGGCCGAATACCTCAAGCGTCTGAGTGAGCGGTGGCGGGCTAGAGTAAGCGGAGGCCAGCGGGCTAGAGTGAGGAATGGCCAGCGGGCTTGAGAATGGTGCGACCAGCGAATTCGACGAAGGAGCGGCCGGTGGGCTTGCGGCAACCACATGTGACGACTCCGCTTCATCCACGGTGAAAGCCGATCTGGTGATCCACAGTGCGAAGTTGATGTATTTCCTCAGCGACCAGCACGGATCAGCTCTAGGCATGACGAAGTGGATATCGTCCTCTTTTGGAAGGCCAAACAAAGTAGTTTCGCTTTCACAACAAAACACACAGCGCCTTCACGAAATGGCGGCGGAGGTAACAATACTACAGCGAGAATAAAAGTTACGCCTTCTTTCTTTGCGTGAACATTTTGGCAGCGTTATGCAAATCTTCCCGCATCGTGACGTAGACATGTGGGGGCATGTTTAAACGAGGCGTTTTAGGTAGGCGTGGTTGACTCTTAACTTTTATAAAGAACATCTCTTTGGATTTGAGACTTTAGTCTTTGCAACTTTACAGATCTTCTTTATGCACCAAGAGCTTGTAACACTCCAAAGAGAAAGGAAAAATCGAAATGGCATCATATTACCCCTTTAAAGGCAATTCAGCTCAAGCGCATATGAAGCACTTGTGGACTCTGCTTGGATAAGTGTTTTTGTCAGGCAGTGTTTTCTTTTACATTTGCAGTCAGGTGAAACTGAGTGACAGCAGAAAACTTTTCTGCGAGGTGCACATGCACACGGAGCAGCTGGGACTCTAGACGAGCCTCATACCATCAGACATATTACTCATAAAGGCATTCTGCTGATGTTGGCACAATATATATGGAACATAACAGATTCTGGCCCCCTGTAACTTGGATAGTGCTTGGATTCAAATGTTCAAACACGCAGAATGTGCTCAGTGTCACACTATGTAGGTGTGGGAAACACTTTATAATACCTTTGATTAATAAATCATAATTTTCAATGTAATATTATATTTATCAATATGTAGCCATACATAATCATGCATATATTGCAGCATACTGAAAAATGTAAGCACTAGTTTCCAATATAATATAATCAGAATGTGCTCAGTGTCACACTATGTAGGTGTGGGAAACACTTTATAATACCTTTGATTAATAAATCATAATTTTCAATGTAATATTATATTTATCAATATGTAGCCATACATAATCATGCATATATTGCAGCATACTGAAAAAATAATATAATATAATATAATATAATATAATATAATATAATATCTTTAATGAAATGAATCATAAAAAGTTGCCAAATTATTGTCTTACTACAAATACATACAGTAGAAAGGGTCATCGCTAAAATTAGACTCTACTCTTCACAGGCTCAATGACAATATCCTTTGGTTAAAGTTTACTATATACTGGAAAATAAGTATATATAAGGAAACTATATATAAGGAAAATCGAAGTGTAAAATACAATACATGTGCCCTTGAATGCTCAGTAAAGTTGTCAATCAGGATGGGCTAAACTTTGAAATTCCCCCCACAGATAAAGATGTTACATACCTTTCTCAGCAGGCAGCAGATCCTCTCAATATTTCGAAGTCTTTCACGCTGTTAAGAGAAATAAATATCTGTTAAATCTCCTAAAACACCTAAAATGCCAATCTCAAGGACAACATCCTTCAACTGCTAAAAGAAGAAGGAGTAGCGGAGTAGATTTTAACTAGGCTTAAAAGTGTATATGCATTCACACAATAGGTGTTTGTGGCACAGTAGTTATGGCTTTGACATGCACTGCTGCCTAAGGCTCTTGTCTTCCCTCGGCTCCTGGCCCGTGTTCCCTTGCAGAATCACAGAGCACTATACACTGGCAAGGACATCAAGGGACTTGCATTTAGAAAAACAACTGCCAAGAGGTGGAAAAAATGGCAGGGAGATTGTTGAATGGCATGTGAAAATGGCATATGGCGATTATATTTGAAAAGTGGAAAAGGAAAAGTGGCGGTACTCTCCAGGGGACAATGTTTCAAAATCTATTTTTATATATACACGCCCAGACATAGTAGTTCATGGTTTACCATTTAATCCCATGTGTGCAATGGAATAAATCTAATTCAACAGAGATCTCAATGCAAAGTCTGAAGATTTAAACCAGGTTAGAGTTTTTTTTTTTTTTTTTACTTTTACTTTTTTTTAAAATTTACTTTCTCTGCATGCCTTTTCTGTCATATATGCACTATGGAATAATTTTTCATATTTGAGGCACAAAAAGCAGCAGAACTCAATAGGAGGCATGTATGGACATGTGTTAAGGCACAAATAAATCTTACATGAGTAACACAGAAGAACAATGGCAGCACTTTGCCTAAAAGAGCACTGTTCATATGCCACATATGGCAAGAGTGCAAAGATGCAAGCATACATATTTGATTGCTATTTTTGAAATTCACATTAACTTCATTCAACTCAATACATTATTTACATTACTAGCCTGCACATGTAAATAATTAAATAATTTGTACTGTTATTCACTGATCCACAGAACCACCCATAGTGACCACTACAACACTCCTACTCAGCAAGAATACTCTCTTTATCACAAATGGCCTTGTTAGTCAGTTTAATCATACACACACACACACACACACACACACACACACAAACTAATGATGATGCTGCATTCTTTTCCCATATGATTTTACATGTACAAATGATTATTTTCAGACAGAGGACATTTAATATTTATTTACTTACTTATTTTTTACAGTGTATTCCAGATAACACATGGGAGAAAAACTCATTTGTAATAACCTAATTTCTAATTTAAAGGGGTCATATGATGCGATTTCAAGTTTTCCTTCATCTTTGGAGTGTTACAAGCTGATTGGGCATAGATGAGATCCCTGAAGTTGCAAAGACTAGTCTCAAAACCAAAGAGATATTCTTTATCAAAGTTAAGACTCTGCCACGCCCCCCCCTAAAACGGCTCGTTCTAACACGCCCTCACATATCTACCTCACTATGTGGAAATATTAGCATAATGTGCCCAAATGTTCACGCAAAGAAAGAAGGTGTGGTTTCAGTAACTGCAGTTAGTGTTGAAGCAGCATGTCAGGGAGACGCTGTGTGTTTCTAGGCGAAAGCAAAAGCACTTTATTTGGCCTTCCGAAAGTAGATGCATTTAGGAATCTTTAAGATTACTTACAACAGAACAGCAATGCATTTTATGGACGACCGTTTCGTGAACCTGGGAGAGGAGGTAATTCTGACTTTGCTATGACAATCTGGCGCTTCTGATTCAGCTACTGTTTTGTTATTAGTTTAAGTATTTGTAGAAAACGAAGCGTTTGAGAGAGGCGGGGCATAGAGGACCAACAATAATGTACATTATTTGAAAAATAATGTGTTTTTTGAACATTAAAGCATGTCAACATATTCTGTTACACCAAATACACAAAATAATGATCCTTAAAAAAGCATCATATGACCCCTTTAATATAAGATGTGTCCAGGCTCAAATAATATGCAGTATAATATATTGAAGAAAAAATTTTGTTTATATTAACATATAATATAATATAATATAACATAATATAATATAATATAATATATTTATAAAAAATGTATATGATATATTACTAATTAAAACTGTTTTACTACAGTTATCTTGCAATATATTTATCAAAGACACAAATAATTCCACTAGTAAAAAATGTGGCATTACGCTTGTTTGCTGAATTTGTGAAAAGTAATTGATATGCAGCTATTTTCCCAAAGTTTCCTCAGTGCATTTTTAAACAGTTATTTCAAGGCTTTGATTGGCAACCTCCCACTGTCTTGTTCCAGCACACAGTTGTGTTTCAGAGATTACACCAAGCATCCATGAAAGTTACACTCAACTCTCGGCCTATTTTTGGACCGCACCTCATTTTAGTTCATCCAAATTTCCTTAAGACATTTTTCACACCATTCCTCCTCAACAACAGCATGCAAATATATTCCACTGGCAGCTATAGCGACTGGAGATAACTGCAGCCATATCAGCACTTTTAATTAGCAGGCAATTAGACTCAGCTCCCTTTGAAATATTCGTCAGCACAAATTCTGCCTGACAAGTGCTGGCATACGGTATAAACAATATATTAAATATAGGACAAAGAGTCAATACAGCAGTGAGAATATTATGTTCTTGAGCCATGCAATCTGCATCGTACAAATGGGTAATCTTTGACGGACATACAAATGCAAACACAGCAGAAGTGAGTCTGTCATCTCTGTAGCACAAATAATATTCAGCATCTATAATGATGGCATGAAAAGAGCATAAACAGATGTGATCAAAAGCTGAGCCTCTGAACAAACTAATTTTGGTCACTTTAGACACTAGCCAAATTAGGCAGATGCCAACATGGATGTGTTGCTTGGCATCCCTCATACTCAAACCATGAACAAAAAAACAATTATAATAAAATATGGCTTAGAATACATTAAATAGGGGTTCATTTGCAGACAGTTTTTGCTGACCACAATCTGTTTTAGAAACCAGAAAAATCAATTGTCACTTTGCATCATGTTAATAATTTACACTTTTTTACTTTTATGAAAATAACTTATTGTATGAATAATTCTGGCTTGTCTAATGTCAAATCTAAAGCCGACGTGGTAGGTAATATTTTTTACCATAAATTCTGAATAGTAGACAATTAACTATTGTTTTATCAGCCCTTCTATAGCTCAACTGGTAAAGCTTGGCACTGAGTTTGATTTAAAGTGTATTGAATTTAGCTTATGTCTCTACAAAAGTAAATAAAAAAAACTGAGCTGATGTGTTGGAATGCTCATGTTGCCATCATGCAAGCAACATAATACCTTTAATTTAGTGTTGTTTTACATTGAAATCGGCCACATGCATGGTAATGTTTATCTCGAACATCAGCATGATAAAATATTAAAAGCTTGCGCGCATCAGGCAACGCAGCAGATACAAATTCCATCTAATGAGCTCATAACGTTAACATGAAAGATGCCTCATTTCAACACATATAGCATCAGAAGTGTTTAATTGCTGGAGAATTATGTCTTGAATGCCTCCACAGAATTAGCCGGGCAGTTAAATGTGATGGTTCTGCTAGCTCTCGCTCTCTGATTTATCAGTGATATTAAGGTTTAAAATGTTTAACCCTCACTAATTTGTGTTAGATTTATGCTTAAAACAAGAAAAATGCTATTTTCCAAATGGGGTAAGAAAAACTGTGTTATCTTATAATATCTTTAGCTATTTTGGTTCTCTATTGAATGTATCTTGTTTCAAAGATTTTTAGATATTATCTACTACAAAACAAGTTGCAAATTGAGTAAACATTAAGTCAATAATCCTAATTCATCTCTATTAATTGCATCTAACATTAAAATATGTAATAATAATTGCACATTGAATCCCCAAATTAATATAGAATCAGCATAAAGATATTACAAACCCGATTCCAAAAAAGTTGGGACACTGTACAAATTGTGAATAAAAACAGAATGCAATGATGTGGAAGTTTCAAATTTCAATATTTTATTCAGAATACAACATAGATGACATGTCAAATGTTTAAACTGAGAAAATGTATAATTTCAAGGGAAAAATAAGTTGATTTTAAATTTCATGGCATCAACACATCTCAAAAAAGTTGGGACAAGGCCATGTTTACCACTGTGTGGCATCCCCTCTTCTTTTTATAACAGTCTGCAAACGTCTGGGGACTGAGGAGACAAGTTTCGGAATATGAATGTTGTCCCATTCTTGTCTAATACAGGCTTCTAGTTGCTCAACTGTCTTAGGTCTGCTTTGTCGCATCTTCCTCTTTATGATGCGCCAAATGTTTTCTATGGGTGAAAGATCTGGACTGCAGGCTGGCCATTTCAGTACCCGGATCCTTCTACGCAGCCATGATGTTGTAATTGATGCAGTATGTGGTCTGGCATTGTCATGTTGGAAAATGCAAGGTCTTCCCTGAAAGAGACGACGTCTGGATGGGAGCATATGTTGTTCTAGAACTTGGATATACCTTTCAGCATTGATGGTGCCTTTCCAGATGTGTAAGCTGCCCATGCCACACGCACTCATGCAACCCCATACCATCAGAGATGCAGGCTTCTGAACTGAGCGCTGATAACAACTTGGGTTGTCCTTGTCCTCTTTAGTCCGGATGACATGGCGTCCCAGTTTTCCAAAAAGAACTTCAAATTTTGATTCGTCTGACGACAGAACAGTTTTCCACTTTGCCACAGTCCATTTTAAATGAGCCTTGGCCCAGAGAAAACGCCTGCGCTTCTGGATCATGTTTAGATATGCCTTCTTTTTTGACCTATTGAGTTTTAGCCGGCAACGGCGAATGGCACGGTTGATTGTGTTCACCGACAATGTTTTCTGGAAGTATTGCTGAGCCCATGTTGTGATTTCCATTACAGTAGCATTCCTGTATGTGATGCAGTGCCGTCTAAGGGCCCGAAGATCACGGGCATCCAGTATGGTTTTCCGCCCTTGACCCTTACGCACAGAGGTTGTTCCAGATTCTCTGAATCTTTGGATGGTATTATGCACTGTAGATGATGATAACTTTAAACTCTTTGCAATTTTTCTCTGAGAAACTCTTTCTGATATTGCTCCACTATTTTTCGCCGCAGCATTGGGGGAATTGGTGATCCTCTGCCCATCTTGACTTCTGAGAGACACTGCCACTCTGAGAGGCTCTTTTTATACCCAATCATGTTGCCAATTGACCTAATAAGTTGCAAATTGGTCCTCCAGCTGTTCCTTATATGTACATTTTACTTTTCCGGCCTCTTATTGCTACCTGTCCCAACTATTTTGGAATGTGTAGCTCTCATGAAATCCAAAATGAGCCAATATTTGGCATGACATTTCAAAATGTTTCAACATTTGATATGTTATCTATATTCTATTGTGAATAAAATATAAGTTTATGAGATTTGTAAATTATTCCATTCCTTTTTTACTCACAATTTGTACAGTGTCCCAACTTTTTTTGAATTGGGTTTGTACATAATTTTACATAAAATATAACACAATATAAAATATTACATACAATTACATAATAGCATCTTTTGTACTATCAAAGCCAGTCTCACCAATATTGTTATTACGAACAGTGTTACTGATACTGCTATTATTTATATATTTTTACTATAAATTTTTGCCTAAGCAAGGGGAAAACTGCTTGCCAATGAGGTAAGAAAAATAAACTTAATTCAAGATTCTCTATTCTGTCTCATCTTATGCTAATATCTTTTTACTATCAAGTACTATCAAGGCCAGTCTCACAGACATCTTTACCAATACTGCTGTTTCCCCCCCCTCAGTTTCTGAAGAACAAATTAATATTTATAGTCATTCAAGTATGGCTGATCACAGGGTACATGCAGACTGTGTTGTTTTGATACAAACAGCATAAGCATAATAAAACATTAGCCTATACCATCGGAAATAAAAAAGAACCAATAAACAATGCTGCATTAATTGTGTGAATTATTGCATCTATATTAATTGCATTAAATTAACTCTCAGCCCTAAAATCTACTCATAAAGAAATAATTTTGCGAAAAGCTCGTTAATGGCAGATGTAAATGGAGCCTGAGGGACTGAACACAGTGACTGTAGCACTACTGTGCAGACTAGAGTCATAAGGGGAGCTCCAATGACAATCACAGGATGAAGTCCTGACTTCCTCCCAGCTGAAGACTGACAGAAGCCACCAATTAGCCAGGCAGGGTGTGAGATTGACTTAACTGGGTGGTGAGATCAGCTAGGAGGCCATCAATCTTTTAGCACCCCCACCTTCCAGATCCTCCATAATTCCCTCCAGTCTGACATAGAGAGCGTGTATCTTTTACTTTGACACTTTGTTTGGAAGACAGCAATCAGTCTACACATGTTTGGAAGACAGCACTCAGTCTACACATCAGTGAGACTTTCCAACACGAAGTCCAAAAGACCAAAAATATCTGCATTCGCTTGTGCCTCTTGCTTTGTTTTCTGTCGCTACGTAGCCTGGCAAGGTATCAAGCACACACATGTAAATTATTTTGCAATGCTGGCATATAGAATGACAATGTTGTTCTAAAATTTTGGATAACAGTTGGTGTATCCAAAAAGCTGGAAAAGTTGCCTCAGCTTGAATTAATTAGCTAGATTAAAGCTGCCAGGGCCTCCAGCAGAGGAAAGACAACACATAGACAGCTGCTCTATGGATTATTCATGCAGTGCTGCGGATGACAGGAAATGTTTCAGAGTTTGGGGTAGGCAACACACCTGGTGCCTGCAAAAGATCAGAGGGCTTGCTAAAATATATTCCCACCATAAACAAATAAACACAGGCACGCATACAAACTCATTAGTTTCCATGGAAGTGCAGGAAAGGGCAATGAATCAAATGATCAAGTCCATTATTTGCATGAATTACCGCGTGAAGTGGATTGCCCTGATCGATCGGCACCTTGAAGTCTGCCTGAAGCTCATCAAAGGCTGTTATCTGAAAACCCAAAGAAGAAAAGGGAACACAATCATTATCATTAGGCTAGACACATGGATTTGCAGCATTTGCGTGATTTTCAAGGATATGTGCTCCTTTTATTACTTTGATTTATCCTCCATTATTTCTGCATCTCATTGGCATAGCAGAAGTTGAGCTGGGTGATACAACTGAAATATTTTGTGTACTATTAGTAATCATTTTATATATATATTAATTTATATATTGTAGAATGAGATACATAAAATACCACGTGATAAACTTGAATATTAAGGTTCTTGAGTTCACAACATCTTGAAATCTTTAATATATTATGAATATCCAGTATATCATGATGGTGAAAGTAATGTTTGATGTGACAAAAATTATACAGATTGAAAAGGCATATGAAATTATCCCCTTTAGTAAGTGCATCAGAGCAAATAGGGTCTTATGGTGCCTCATGGCTATAGCTCATGCACAAGGCAAGAGAAGCCTAAATTAAAGTTAGATCAAATTAGACAAGCTTATTTCCCCTGTTACAGACCAAACTGCCCTCTCCTCCTACACTACCTCTCCCATAGTACAGCAATGCTCTCTCAATTCTGAAGGCGACATGAGCAGTAAAAATGGGGTTTGATTTTAACTGCTTTTCTGCTTGGCTGTCAGATAAGTGTGTGCGGTGTAACCGCTACATAACCAGAAAAAAAAAAACATTACATACACGTTTTAAATCTGGCCATCCTTTAATAATCACATTTAAACTTGCACCATGAAAGGGGGATCATTGAACCATATAAACTACACAAGCGACATAAATAACTGAACACTTTTCATAAATGTTGATGAAGCATAAAAACTTAAAACGGGTTAAATTAAAATAAGGCCGGGTTTAAACTTGACAGCAGCATATGAATCTTAATCATAGTTGTGAAATTCAAAATGTTCCTGCGTATGATACATGCCTTCCAGAAAGAAAATCAACAAATAATGTAACATGTGCACATTGCATCCATGTGGAAACATTGCTGTTTTGTTCCCTATGTGACATCAGTTTACCTATCTGGGGATTACGTTGTATTGAAAAAAGCTGAGCTGACTGGAGAACTGTACTTGTATATAAATATACTCGTAATGCACAGAATAGAATTGTTGCTCAGTAAACTCTGTCTTTAATATTTAAATTAGTAGATGTGATTTCCTCAAACATTCTCATATTTATCATGATTATAACACAATGTGTTGCCAGTAAGAGGGAATTGGGCTGTGAGAAATTATAGATTTCTTTATGATTGCCTGCTGTAATGTCTACAAATGATATCACGCTTGCCCTAATCCATCACCTCATTCTCATGTCTCTAATGACAGTTACAATAGTATGTTATGACAAAACACTTTTTCCATAGTGTATAATTAGTAAACTAATACATTTTTACATTTGCATCACAACGGGTTTAATATGTATGGCTTTTCTGATGTAGTAAACTTGCTCGGTAGCACCCCCGGTAAGCAGACTGCAGAGCGTTTCAGGTATCCTGTGAACCGTGAGTCACGATAAAATAGTTGAAAAATAGCTGAAAACTGTTATTCTTTTAAAAGCAAGCTTTTGCTTACAATACTGTTAAGATTTAGGGTAGAGTTTTACATGCCTTCCAGAAAGAAAATCAACAAATAATGTAACATGTGCACATTGCATCCATGTGGAAACATTGCTGTTTTGTTCCCTATGTGACATCAGTTTACCTATCTGGGGATTACGTTGTATTGAAAAAAGCTGAGCTGACTGGAGAACTGTACTTGTATATAAATATACTCGTAATGCACAGAATAGAATTGTTGCTCAGTAAACTCTGTCTTTAATATTTAAATTAGTAGATGTGATTTCCTCAAACATTCTCATATTTATCATGATTATAACACAATGTGCTGCCGGTAAGAGGGAATTGGGCTGTGAGAAATTATAGATTTCTTTATGATTGCCTGCTGTAATGTCTACAAATGATATCACGCTTGCCCTAATCCATCACCTCATTCTCTAACACTGACCCAATGCCTATTATTTCCAAAATTGTGTTAATACCACTTCTTAGTGGTATTACCCAAGATTTTGGGTTATAGACCTTCCTAATACTACTAGCTTGAGTAAGCCCTTCCTAATACTAATAGCTTGAGTAAACCAAATGACAAAACCAACATAGGCTCATTGGAAATTTGTTGCTCAAAAACTACATAAACAAACCTATACATACAATTCACTCAGATTCCAGATAAAATTACCGATTAGCAGTAAAACACCAACAACTTTTATTTCTTTTCACACAAATTATGACAGTTACAATAGTATGTTATGACAAAACACTTTTTCCATAGTGTATAATTAGTAAACTAATACATTTTTACATTTGCATCACAACGGGTTTAATATGTATGGCTTTTCTGATGTAGTAAACTTGCTCGGTAGCACCCCCGGTAAGCAGACTGCAGAGCGTTTCAGGTATCCTGTGAATCGTGAGTCACGATAAAATAGTTGAAAAATAGCTGAAAACTGTTATTCTTTTAAAAGCAAGCTTTTGCTTACAATACTGTTAAGATTTAGGGTAGAGTTTAGGTGGTGTGTTATTTTCAAACGCAGTAGACAGAGCATTAACCAGTTTTTGTGAACATAAACGTAACTGAAAATCTAGTCTGTATAGCAAAGATGTTTTGTTCTAAAAGGACTGTTTGAAAAGTTTGTTTGAAAAGGACTGTGTTGATATTTTGGCATTATTCAAGTCATGTCAGCACGTGTAAGCCTATTTACCGTAACACAGTTCACCTAGTAGCATAATCAAGTTGTCCTCCAATGTTTAACAAGAGCTCTTCGAATTAAATTTTTGAATTAAATGTGCCACAATTAGGATGACCACTATACATCTCAATAATACATTTAAAACTTAGACCTAGACATGACATAGACAATCTGTTCTAAACTGTGCATCTTTGCCAAACGTTTTGTGGACACTACTGTGTTGGTTTCCACTGGCTGTGAAAGTGGACTCGAAACATCTGCTGAGGGAGCTTTTGACTCTCAGTGTTAGTTAAGCTAATGTGGGGATCATTTCCCCTCAGATGTAGAATAACACACAAGGGGAAATATGCAGATTAGGCATCTCTTTAGATCCCTTTGAAAAGGACGAATTCTTCCATGCTCGTAATCTAAGTTAAGGAAAGTTAAAGAAAGATAGGCTTAGCAGTGTTTGAAAACTTCACTTTTAAAAGGTGCTGTAAGAGATTTCAAGGATTTTGCTATCTTTCACTAGACTTGCTGGTAGATGTTATTTATACCCGAAAGCTGAATTTTCAACAGTCGTTATTTCAGTCTTCAGTGTCACGTGATCCTTCAGAAATCATTTTAATATGCTGAATCAGTGCTCAAGAAACATTTCTTATTATTATCAAGTTGTGCATTCCTAATATTTTTTTGTGATACATTTGTTTCAGGATTCTTTGATGAATAGAATGTTCCAAAAAGCGGCATTTATTTGAAATTTTTGTAATGCTAAATGTATTTTCTGTCACTTTTGATCAATTTATTGTGTCCTTGCTAAATAAATATATTAATAAAAAAAATCTTACAGACCCCAAACTTTTACTAACAATAAATAAATCACAAATATTATATAATAGTAGATGCTTTTCCAATTTCTTTGTGGAGGGCTCTTAAAAGCGTGAAATGTACTTTATAGGATATTGTCCCTGTCTGCTGCTTTTCACACCACAGCTCAAGATAGTCCCTTGGGATTGTGTGCATTTGTGTGGTGCCATCAGCCGATAAATACTGTCAGCATGACAATTGCATATATAAATAAGAATTTATGCGTTATTAAAAACAGAATCACTTGGATGTCACAAAGGATGTTGGTTGAAGGACACTTATCAACTAAAGTTCCACTGATATTCAGAATTTCCCATTGTCTTTGTCAGGGTTCTGTCACTTCGGTCTAGTTTATTCATGGTTTTGTAACGGAGCCCTGACACTCCCGTCTTGTCTTGTTTTCTTGTGAGCGCGCGACTTCGAGTGTGCTCGAGCCGTGCGCTCTCTTGTCTGCATGCCTTGTTTCATGTTGGAGCGTGGTGTTCGGATCCCGGCACTCATGTCTTGTTCAGATTCAGTTTCGGTTTGGTGTCGGGGTTTGGACACTCGTGCTCCATGTTCTGTTTTGTTGTGGGAGCGTGCGGTCTCGAGTTCGCTCGGGCCGTACGCTCTTCTGTCCTCGTGTCTTGTGGTGTTGCACGCAGCTCGTGTCTTCGGCTGTGTGCTTTCATGTTATGTCTTGTGCTGTGTAGCACGCAGCTTGTGTTTTTTATTGGCTGCATGCTTTCATATTGTCATGTCTTGTGTGAACACGCGGCTTATGAGTATTCTCATTAGCTGTGTGTTTGTGTCTTGTTTTGTTCAAGCACATGGCTTGTGACTGTTTTGCTGGCCTTGTGCTTGTGTTTTTGTTTTGTGTGAGAACATGGCTTTTGTCTTTGTTTCCTGTGTGCCATGTGCTCTCATGTCAATTGTCTAACCCACCCATCTTGTTACCTGATTATTGGTTAATTTGCCCCACCTGTGTTTCCATTATTACCCTCCTCATTTGCTCCCTATTTATTCTCCTTGTGTTTGCAGTCCTGTATGAGTTCGTCGTTGAATGTTGTGTGTGCGCCTTGTGTCCTGCCCTGCCTTGTCAGTCGGTTTCCCTAATGGGGTAGTTTCAGTTTGTTTTGTTTTATTTTTTGTTAATAAAAGCTCTAATTCCTTCTGCAATTGAGTCCTTGCCTCATCCATTCGACCCTGACAGTCTTGGCATTCAATAATCATGATTTTATAATAATCGGTCCTTTTTAAAGCGAATTCTGCTTTCTTTGATATGTCTGCGTGACAAACTATTTCAGCATGGCTTAAAAGGACCGTGAGGAAGCTGTCTCATAATGCATATACTCTATATTCAGTGCATTCAATAAAATCATGCTGAACCTACACCCGAAACCTAAAATGTATTCAAATTGTAGACGTGAAAGAGGGTCGACGTGTCAGGATTTTCCCATTGTGAGCCGATTGAATTAAGTCTATTAAAGATTCAAAAGCTGAAACCGCTGAGGACAGCATTTCTGCCTTCCACACAAAATAACTGACAAATAAAAGGAACTTCTTTTAGAATAACTGAAGGACAGTTTATTGGAAATAGATTGAGTTGAATGATGTCTTACAGAAAGGTCTGGGTCAAATGTGATGTCCTCATAATTACCCCTTATTTAACCCTTGAGGCTATAATGTCTGTTGCTATGCAAAATCAAGCCTAGGGCAAATGACTGTGCTGACCCAAATCTAGAGCAGTTTTGCAGTGCTGTGAATATGAGCTTTTGAAAAGTGGGGACATGGGGTAATGTCCTGAAAAGTCACCTTCTCCTTGTAATACCTGTCATACCTTTGTCATTATACAAATATATGTCCTCCAAAAACGCAAAAACGCGTACACACACACACACACACACACACACACACACACACACACACACACACACACACACACACACACACACACACACACACAGTA